TCTCTGCCTAAAGTTGAAGTGTCAACTTAAGCAAAACTACAATATGGATTTACATACATATTAAACGTCAGAAGCAGCATAATAAACAGTTAATCAAGTCCAAAACCAAACAAGCAGAGCAAAGGTCTGTAGACTTGCTATACCCAGTTGTCAGTGCCAGTGGCCAAACAACTAACAGAAGGAAGGAGGTCCACGAACAGCCACATCCTCAATGATGACAGAACTCAGCATATCAATGCCAAAAGACAAGACTGAAGTGTTTTATGAACATCTTTAGCAGGAAGGCCAATCACCACCCATTAGTCTACTCTTGATTATCAGTAAAATGAAGGAAGTTGTTGTCAACAGTGCTATCAAGCAGCACCTGCTTAGCAGTAACTTGCTCAGTGACACCCAGTTTGGGTTCCACCAGGACTACTCAGTTCGCAAACGCAATGCAGCCTTGGTTCAAATATGGACAAGAGCTGAAGTGACAGTGACTGCCCTTGAGGCCAAGGCCATATTTGACCTGGTGTGTCATCAAGGAGTCCACGCAAAAATGGAATTAATGCAAATCAGAGTCCAACCTTCCACTGGTTGGAATCATAACCGGCATATAGGATGATAGTTATGGTTGCTCAAGGTCTGTCACCTCCGCTCGAGGACACCTCTGCAGGAGTGGTATCCGAGGCCCAACCATCTTCATTTGCTTCATCAATAACCTTCACTCCATCATAATGTCAGAATTGGGGATGTTCACCAATGATTGAACAATATGCAGTACCATGCACAACTCCTCATACTGAAACTGTCCATGTTCAAATGCAAGGTGATCTGGAAAATATCCAGATTTGAGCTGATAAGTAACAAGTAATGTTCACATTACACAAATGCCAGGCAATGATAATCTCTAATAAGAGACAATCTAATCACCACCCCTTGACATTTAGTGGTGTTACCATTACTGAATTCCCCCACTATTAACATCCTGGGAGTTACCGTTGACCAGAAATTCAACTGGATTCATCATATAAACACAGTGGCTACAAGGTCAGAAATTAAGAATATTGCAGCGCTGTAAAACTCTAACTCCCCTCTTGACTCCCCCAAGCCTGTCTATCATCGACAAGGCACAAGTCAGGAGTGTGATGGAATATTCTCCACTTTTCTGGATCGGTGCAGTTCCAACAACACTCAAGAAGCTTGACACCATCCAGAACAAAGCAACCCACTTGATTAACACAACATCCACAGCCAGCAGTTCCCTTACCCATTGATGGTCAGTAACAGCAGTGTGTACTATCTACAAGATGCACTGCAGAAATTCACCAAAGATCCTCTTACAGCACCTTCCTACCCCTTGACCACTTCCATCTAGAAGGATAATGGTAGCAGATACATAGAAAATACTACCACCTTCAAGTTCCCCTCCAAGCCACTCACTATACTGACTTAGAAATATATTGTCGTCCCTTCACTGTCGCTGGGTCAAAATTCTGGAATTCTCTCCCTAATTGCATTATAGATCAACCCACAGCAGATGGTCTGTAGCAGTTCAAGAAGGCAGCTCACCACCACCTTCTCAAGGGCAACTAGGGATGGGTAATAAATGCTGGCCAGCCAACGATGCCCACATCTCAAATAAATGATTAAATAAATAAAAACTTGTCATTTCCTTTTCTAAATTGCAGTGGATACAATCCTAGCCTTTCCTCCATAAGCCCATTCCAAGTATTACTCTGATAAACCCTTCACTGAAATGCTTCCACTGCATTTACATCTGTCCAATAAAATAGCTGATGCTTTGCAGTACACCAGTGAAGTATAACTGAAGTATAACCTCCTTGTTTGTAACCGATTCTTCTCACAATAGACAAAACTTTTGTTTTTATTTTGTTTTATTTGAACAAATACAGAAAATTAGAAATTGCTCTTCAGTGTTGGTATACCAGGTATGTGGTTGGATCTGGTCCAGGCTGCTGGATCACAGATTGCTCTGGTTCGCCTCCCTTCTGTGCTGAAATAGGTGAAATTGGCAAGATCTCATCCTTGGACTACGCAATGCTGACAATGATCAGGCAGGGGTTTCTTGAGTTCAGTTTTACCACTTGGGTCCCTGGCAGCATGGTCCTAACTTTAATTCCCAACACACCTGTCTTAGTTGTACAATGTGTAGCTGTATCAACATAGTAGTTCATTGTGTCACCACTGTGGATTATCAGACCATTGACAAATTGAATGGACTTGGCTCTCTGGCCTCGGAGTTTTCTGGAAACCACCACCTTGCAGCCCTTGGCCCACTTTCCATAATGAGGCAAAGAACAGCATAGCAGTCTTTATGTACTGCCAGGCCTCCTAACAACTTGTAATGCAGGGATTCTGCCTGAGCAATAGCATAAAACCCTCTAGCGGCAACTTATTCAGCATACAGCTCAGCATTCCCTCTGGAAACCAAATGGCTTCTGAACAACAGCCAGCTCATGGATTAGGTGACCTTTCTCACCCAACATATTCTGAGTCCTGGTGGCCAAGCTGACAATCCCAGTCCTGTTAGCTTTCCTAATTGCTTGCTGTACCTACATACTAATATTTATTATTAACTTTTTAGTCTCTTTGGTTTTCTTTCTCTGCCCACTCTTTTGGCCTGCTGCCTTTCTTTATGCAATGATATGCTTTTTTCTTTCACTTTGATGGATTTGTAACTTTTTAAGTTAACTACAGGTGTCCATCTCTTTTTGTCAGTATTTAACCCGAACGACAAACTTTTCTGAATTTTATCTTCTGACTTTTCTTCACTGATGATAGGAATACTTTCCAGAAATGAGAACCTTGTATGAGTTAAGAAATCTTCAATCTCTTGAGACCTCTGGCCACTGCACTGCTGACTGAGCCCTGGCAGTATACCTGGCAGTGCTCAGTGTCCCTGGTGCCCTTCCAGGTCAACTTACCAAAAGGAAGCTGGCATAATCATCTTTGGTTATGCACTAAAATGTTGTCTGTGATTCTGTAATGTTGTTCGTGCTTCAGGTATATGTTCACGACTGGATTTTTGGTCGAGCTAGCATTCAATGCAACATTGCTGATGTGTAGTATATTCTTGGTTACCCTTTTGTTCTTGTTGAATTTGCTTCAGCTCCTTTTGGCTTGCTGCCGTTGGTTTTACTTTGCTATATAAAATATGTTTTTTTATGCCATCATGGGTCATCTCATTAGATTTTTTTTCTTTTTTTTTGGCTTACACCAGGGTTCTAGGATGCCCAATGAAGCCTTCTAGCAGTTACCCCTTGACTGGTTGGTTGGCAGTGGATAAGTTTGAAGTTTTTGAACTCCTCCTCCTGCCTAGAGTATTTTGAGACATGCAGTGGGCTGAAAAGTGAAAAGTCTTGGTTGCGAATTATGTATACATTGTTGACTGTTTTACATTATTTGTGTTGTACTGTTACTTGTAGTATGTCTTCGATTTTGAGAGTTATTCCACGTGGTCTGTGTAATATCATTTCTGTTGGCTGTAAATTATATTCCTTCAGCTATGGTATTTCATCTGGTAGAACAACGATGCTCGACCTTTGATAAAGATTATAATTAATGAGCTGTTCATTAACATGCTCAGTCAAATGCTACTCAACAATTCTCCCTAGGAATGCCTTGATTAACGTTTCTAATGGTAATTACTCCACTGTATTGAATTCCTTGCATGTGTAACTACTATTATTTCTGCTGCACAGAAACACTGTCCTACATCTGCATATTTTCTGAAAATAACCTACAGTTTTAAAGGTGTAGCCTTTTTTAGTTATAGCTGGGCACTGCTTCTGTTTTTCAGGCATTTTTGTTCCATAGTGCTGACAGAGTCTTTTGATACGTACTGTTTGGCCTAACCTTTTTGGATGTCACATATGTCTCGATAGAGTGTTTATACTTTATAAAGCTTTTGTTAATCCTCCTCAGAATATATCTGAGAGTCTTCCTGATGTTTGCTTCCAGTGTAATTTGAAGAGCTTTGTCCAAAATCAGATCTTCTTGGACTATTATAAATCTTACAAGACTCATTAATAATTCCATTGACAATTCTGTCTCTAGTGAAGCCTAATTTCAAAGCTTCATAGTCGCAATTTTCAATTAATATATAGAGATCATTAATTAAATTATCTACAGATTTCCATGGAAGCTAACCATTTCTGTTAAATCTTACCCTTTCAAGAATTTTGTTTGTTCACGGATTAAAGTAATTATCTTCAAAGGTACCTCTGCATAATTTTATATTTTGGTGATTTATAACATCAGCCACTGAAGGTCTTCTTCAATTCAGCAGTGTATTTACAAATACAGTGAGTTCTGAGGAAAGGTCACCAGATCCAAAACGTTAACTCTGATTTCTCTTCACAGATGCTGCCAGACCTGTTGAGCTTTTTGGTTGTGTATTTACTTGTTCAGTTTGAGATTAACATTTAATTCCACTGCAATTCTATATCTTTAAAAGCTGTTTTCTCTAAGATATCCAATCCTATTCTGTTTGACTAATCTCTGACACTAAATCTTTAAGGTAGTATTTCTCCTGCAATTTTATTAATGTGATTATTATTCTTCCTTTAAAACTATTTTAAATCTGTAGGATCTCAATGCTATTTGTAATCTGCTGGATTTTCAGATTTAGTTTTGCAGTATATCAATACTATTTTAATCTCCTGTAAGATATGATAATACTGAATGATGAGCAATGTTGTCTTCGAGTCCTTTTTAATAAGGCATTAAACTTTATTATTGCAATGCTGTATAGTTGCTTTTTAATAAAAACTTCACTAGCTGTTTGTAGTGGTTTGAATTTTTCCTGCAATGGACTTAAAACACACCTCATCACTTGTGATTTCTACAGTTAAATCTAAGAGAATAGGTTTATTTGTGTTATGTATTTGACTATGTTTTTGAATTGAGATCTCTTTTTCATTTTTCCTTAGACATGAGCTACATTGGAGCTTTGGAGTTTGAATTTAATTTGTTTTTCATCCTTTCCTTTTTCCTAGGTGCTTTTACCTGCAGCCAGTCTGTTGCAGCTAATGGATGTAAGAACTGCTTGTTGTGATTTTCTGCAATCCCAGTTACATCCAACCAACTGTCTGGGAATTCGAGCATTTGCAGATGTTCATACCTGTACGGAGCTGCTGGATGAGGCCAATGCATATGCAGGTGGGGACTGTTCATTTGGATTTTATTAAAACCTACAAAACAAAGCACAGAACAGTGTAAATGTTTTCTTAATCCTGTATTCTGACAATCTAACTCCATTTTTGAACTAATGACAAGTTTTGTTCAATATCAAAATACTGTGGATGCTAGAAATTCGAAATATAAACACAAACTGGAAATACATAGGCTGGATAGCATCTATGGACAGAGAAACAAAGTCACCTTTTCAGATTAATGACTTTTCATCAAAGTTGGGAAACATTAAAAATATTGTATGTTTGAAGCAAGTAAAGGGGAAAGGATCAGAAAAGAACAAATGAAAGAAAATGAAACAAAAGCGGAAATTGCTCAAGACAATCAGCTGGTGTGGCAGCATCACTGGAGAGAAAGCAGAGTTAATATTTCGAGTCCAGTGACCCTTCTTCAGAATGTTCTTTACTTTTCAATTTTTTTGTTATCCAGGGAGCTCAGGATTTGTTTGCCCAACTTTTACCCCTTGTGGAAATGTGCTTTGACTGCGCTCAAGCTCTCTCCTCTTTTAAAGGCAGCCGATCGTTCAGTTACGTTTTGCCTGCCAGTCTTTGATTTTGATTTATCTAAGGCAGATCAGTTTTCACTCCATTGAAGTTTTCCATTCCTCAATTACTTATTCTTACTCTGGTTGCTCCTTGCCCTTGTCCATAATCAACCTATGAGACGTAGACATTGCCACTCCTCTAGGATGGAGGGACTGCAGTCTTCCTAATCTGTTTGAGACAAAATCACTAGATTGGTTTTCCCCTTGGCACACTGCCAACCGTGATTGCAACAAGCTAATTTTGCATACCACCAGAATTCAGATTGAGCTTTCAGTGCAGCACTATAACGTCTGTTAGAAAGTGCCCGTGTAGCAGTGGTAAATGAGACAGTGTCCATCAGGTATCTCATTGTGATTGGATCCACAGATGTGCTGATGGAGTTGGCCACAATCTCTATGGCTTGATACTGACAGTAAACTTTCGAGCAGGCTTCTCTATATACCTAATATTTTGTTGACTGGATCTATCAGCATTCTTCTGTATTCTGCCATGGCACAGAGCCCTCAGCTGAGTACTTTGCAGCAGAACTTAAATGTGATTTAGTTGTCTGATGAGCATGTGGCTGTGCTATCATTGCTGCTGCCATGGCTGCAGGCTACACTTGCTTGGTATCTTACCATGTACAGACCCAACCTCTACGCTCCCTTCTAAATTATGCTCAGTGCCAAATTAAATGACAGTGTTGTGCCTTCATTGTCACTGCTGTCTTGATATACCTTTTCTACCTGACCACATTTCACTTTGCTGAACTGGCAAAGGCATAAGGGCAAGGTGGTAGTGCAGGAATGGTGTAGGGAGGCATATGGTGCATGTTTACGCTATCTGTGACTTGTAAATCAGAAGAAAATATGACAAGGGTACAATGTGCAAATAAAGATTAGGTATGAGATACCATCATCTTCAATGGATTCAGTCCACTGCTCACACCTGCAGCAATGACCATTTCTATGTTAATCGGTGCCTGCATGGGTTTCCTTGCATTCAGGTGTGTCTGTTCCCCTCTGGTTATCTCTTGCTGCCTCTGGTAGTGCATCATCTTGTGATAGAGAAAGGGAGAGTCATGCAATTTGTATGGATAGTATTACTGTCATGGTTGAATAGGTGCAGTACAGTTGTGAGATGTCAGTGAGGGTTGCAAGAGTGACAATGTGTGAGGATGTGATGAACCATATGAACATTGTGTTGGAGTGTGATTAATTAATATTGTTGGTAGGTGATGGAATTGTGGTCAATTAGGACCTTGCGGACTACGATAGACAAATTATCTCCTTGAACCTGCTGTGTCATTTAGTGAAATTATGGTTGATCTGTGGCCTAGCTCTGAAAGCATGTGATGTCCTATTTTCCATAATATATTTAACTAACAAAACTCTGCAAGCTCCAATTTATAGTTGATAATTGATGTGGCATGAATTGCTGTTGTATAGATCAGAGTTCCAAACTACAACGATCCTTGGCGTAGAGCTGTTTCTAAATTCCATTCTTGAAACCCTAGCCTTCCTAACCAGGAAACAGTTTTTCTCCGTGCTACCTCCTTGATATCTTGACAATTTTGATCACTCCTTAGCCATCTAAATTCTGGAAAATGTAACCCTACTTTGTACAACCTCTCCTTTGAATTTAATCCCTCAACTCCAGATGTCATTCTGGTAAATCTACACTGTAATCCTCTCAGGCAAATATGTCTTCCTAAGCTGTGGTGATGAGAATCATTCACATTTCTCTGGGTCTGGTCTATCTAGGCTAATAAACATCTACCGTCTTGCATTCTGGGCCTCTCGATACATAAATGCCAGTATTCCATTAGCACGTTTGATTATTTCCTGTTCAATATATTTTAATGATGTTACATGCCTGGACGCCAAGTCTCTTTGGGTCTGCACTGTTTCTAATTTTTCATAATTTAGAAAGTAGTTATTTTTCTTTTTATGAGCAAAATGCATATAGAAGTCCATTTGCTGCAGTTTTGCCAGAGACCTAGTGGTCACAGCAATGGATCCAGGCTGGGGACATGACTTCAAAATCCCACTAAGGTGGTGAAATGTGATTTTAATAATGTCTGGAATGGGAAGCTTGGCAAATGCCAACCATATAGCCATCATAGATTTGTAAAATCTTATGTGGTTCACTAATGCCCTGTAGGGAAAGAACTTTGCTGTCCATATCTAGTCTGGCCTACGTGTGACTCCAGATCCACAGCTCTGTAGTTGGTTCCTTTGAAATAACCTAATAAGCCACTTGGTTGTACCAAACTGCTACAAAATCTTAAAGGAAAGGACTAAAACTGGATGATCACCCATATTAGCCTAGATATTGAAAACAACAATGGCAAACACAGCCCTATTGACCCTGAACAGTCATCCTTACTAACATCTGGGAGTTTGTGCTAAATTTTGGGGGTGGGGAGGATTCCACAGACTTGTCAAGCAACAGTCTGACATAGTCATACTTACAATTATACTTTACAGGTATGTTCCAGACACTGCCATCACTACTCCTACGTCTTTTCTGTTCTGCTGTCATGTCAGACCTATCAGAGCTGATGGCAGTCAAATGCAATTGAGAGGTGGTGTTGCCCCCAGAGACTTTAGCATTGACTGTGGGCCATGAAGTCTCATGGCATCAGCTTAAACAAGGGCAAGGAAACCTCCTTCTGATTATGTTGTAATGCATGATCAGCAGTCGCCCATGTTGAGCTCCACCTGGATGAAGCACTGAGGGTGCCAAGGGTAGAGTGTATACTCTTTTTGTTGGGAGCTTCAATGTCCAAGAGTGGCTAGTAAGCACCACTATTGACCAAGCTGACGCAGTTCTAAAAGGTTTAGTTCCTAGACTGTTGGTGGAAGGTGGTGAAAAAACTCTTGAGGGGAAAACTTAACTTGACCTTATCCTCCCCTGTCTAGCTATAGCAGATGCATTTGTCCATAGCCATATTGGTAAGAGTGATCATTGCAGAGTTCTTGGGAAGACAAAGTTCCTTTGACACATTGAGGATACCATGCATCATATTGCAGTATTCATGTGCTAAATGGGACAGACTTCAAACAAAATTAACAACTCAATACTGAGCATTTGTGAGGTGTTATGGCCCAGCATGTCCCCCCACACTACCATTACGATCAAGCCTGAAGATCAGCTCTAGTTCAGTGAAGGATGCAAGAGGGTTTGCTAGCATCAGGCAGACCTAAAGTGAGGTATCAACCTGGTGGAGCCCTAACACCAGATTACTTTGCAAGCCAAACTGCGATAGCAGCATGTCATAAGCACAGCTAAGTGAACCCATTACTAGCAAATCAGATCTAAGCTCCGCAGTTCTGCCGTATCCAGTCATGAATGGTGGTGGATAATTAAACAACTCATTGGAGAAGCAGTCTCCGCAGATATCTCCATCCTCAATAGTGGAAGGTCACAGCATATCAGTGCAAAAGACAAGGTTCACACATTTGCAACAATCCTCATCCAGAAGTAGTGAGTAGATGATCCATCTTGGCCTGTTCTTGAGGTCCCCAGCATGACACATGCTAGTCTTCAGCAAATTTGATTTCTTCCACATGATGTCAAGAAATGGCTGAAAGAACTTGATCACTGTAAAGGCCATGGGCCCTGACAGCCTTCTGGCAATAGTACCAAGTATGTATGTTCCAGGCCAAGTTGTTTCAGTACAGCTATGATATAAGCCAGATATGTCATATCCCCAAGAAGCAAGAAAAATCCAACCTAACCAATTACCATTTTATCCATCTATCATCAGCAAAGTGATACAAGAGGCCAACAAGCTGTTAAGCAGTACTATGAAGTGTTAACCTGCTCACCTGAGCTCAGTTTGTGTTTTGGCAGGGCCATTCAGCACCTAACCTCATTACAACCTCAGTTCAGACATTGGCAAAAGAACTGAACTCCAAAGATGAACTCCACACAACAACGCTGTATTTGACTAAGTGAGTCATCAAGGAGTTGTAGCAAAATTGGAGGTGGGGTGAAACTCTGTTGGTTGGGATCATACCTAGTACAAAGGAAGATGGCTATGGTTGTTGGAGGTCAATCACTTCAGCCTGAGCGCGTTGATCAAAGTGTTCCTCTGGGTTGTGCTCTAATCACACCCATCTTCTGCTACTTCGTTCATAATTTTTTCTTCTCCATTATGTCAGAGATGAGGATGTTCACTGCTGATAGCAAAATGCTCATCATTGGTAATGTTTCGGATACCAAAGCAGTTCATGTCCATGTGAAACAAGACCTGGACGGCATCCAGGCTTGATCTTTAAATGCTAAGTAACATTTATGCCACACGTGCAATGCAATGATCGTCTCCAGCAAGTGAATTTTGCCTCTTGACCTTCATTGGCATTACTGTCGCTGAATTTCCCACTATCACATCCTGGGGTTACCATTGGATAGAAACTAAATTCGGCCAGCTGTATA